AACTCACGACCTTGCGCTTGCCATGCAGGCGCTGTAGCGCTGAGCTAAATCCTCAGCCCTATTTTTTATTTTGAGACTGAGTTACACTAAGTCCCTAAGTTGTCTAGACTGGGCTGGAACTTGGGATCCTTCTGCCTCAGCCTCCCAGAGTGCCAGGGTGGTAGGCATGCACCACCATGCCCAGCTGGCCTTGAGGTCTTCATATTTAGGAGGGCATTGAGGACCCCGTCGTATCTATCAGGGTCAGGGGTCATCTGTCCCCTCTCTTCCCGTCATCCATCAGAGTGACACCCACCTGCCCCAGGTTGACGAAGCCGAATTTACGTGCCAGGCGCTCGGCTTCCCGACTACCCTGGGTCACCCGCACTGCCCAGCTACTGACATAGATGGGGACCCGGGCAGACGTCCAGCTCACAGCCAGGGGGCGGACGAGGACCAGACCCAGAGTCACCACTAGAATCCACCAGAGCGCAGTCGGGGCGGGCCACATGGCGGCGGGGGCGGGACCAGGGACGGGGCCTGCGGGAGCCCCGCCCTCCAGCCAAACCGCCGGCCGGGCGCCATAGCAACCTCCAGAGCTTCAACTCCCAGGGGCCTTGCGGTTCTTTCCCCTCACGAGGGGCGGAAAGACCCAACAGAAGTCGTGGGGGGAGCACATGTCCACAGACCTAAACCCTCTGGAACCTCAGCCTCTCCATTTGTACAAACCCAAATCTGGCACAGAGGAGCAAGTTCGTTGTAGTACTAGGACACCCCTCCACCTTTTATTTGGTCCCGCCCACTGTTACACACCCCCTTCAAGAATCAGCTCCTTATCCCGGGTAAGGCCCCCCCCTTATTTAACGCCGCCTCGGCCCCCCCTCCCCTCCAATGCCGCCCCGCCTCCTTTAGGATCAGCCCCGCCCCTCCCCTTTTCTCTCCTCCCTCTTCTCCAATCAATTTTTGGTTTTTCTGGGGGGAACCTAGCCCAACACGCTCTGCCCTCCTCAGTCCGCTCCTCCCTCACCCACCCCCTCCCTCAACGGCGCAGCCAATAATGACCAGCCCTGACACCGCCCCTCCAATCAGCTACGTCTCACTCCCTCTCGGCCAATAGGTGCCCTCTCCCGCCGCCCCCACCCCCTTCCAGCGGCCTCCCTGACCAGGAGGCGGTGGGCGGCCAGAGGGCCATGCGGCGGGGGCGACGGGGCAGGCCCCACCTCCTGTGCCCTCCCTGCCCTCCCTGCCCGCCCTGCCCGGCCGCGGGCCACAACGGGGGGTCGGAGGCGGAGCCAAAATCGGGGGCGGAGCCCGGCGGCCTGGGGGCGGAGCAGGGTGGCGGGCAGAGCGGTACCTGCGCGCGAGCGCGGCGGGGCCGGGGCGCTGGGCAGCCTGCGAGCTCGAGCTGCCAGTCCCGGGGCCAGCGGGGCCATGGACAGCCTGCGCCGGCGCTTCGAGCTCTTTCTGGAACAGAGAAACTTTGCCACCGAAGCGCTCGGAGCGCTCGAAGCCAGGACCGGTGTCGAGAAGCGGTATCTGGCCGCGGGTGAGCCGTCGGGGCGCTCGCCCCGTTGCACCCACAGGCTCGCCGGGTCCCTGAGCACAGAGGTCGCAGGCCAGGCCCTGCTCCCTGGGCCGGGTGCAGGGGTCCGGGCCGGGCGGGGCGCGGCCCTACTACCCGCCGAAGCGCCCCACCCGGGGAGGGGTCTCGTACCCGGACCTCGGGTCTCCCGCAGCCCCTGTCCTGAGCTTGCCGTGCGACCTCGGGCGAGGGCCACCCTTGGCTGCAGCCTCGGTCCCCGCCGTCCCGTGTCCTCTCCCTCGTCACCCTGGGTGCCAGCCAGCCAAGTCCGGTTCTTCCGGTTGTCCAGCGGGTCCCGGGGGACAGGGGGCGATCCAAGTGCTCGCGTGTCCCCCGGGCCCTTCCCACGTGGACCCCAGCCGGGAGGGGACGCTCCTGCCTGCCGCCCTCCCCCAGCTCAGTGGCTTTGCACCGCTGCGGGTCACTGTTTGTTGCCTTGGGCTGTTTGACAGCTGTGATGGGGCCGGAGGAGGGAGAACCTGAAGCCCTCATTGTCGGACCATTTTGGGTCTTTTTATCCTGGGGACAGGAGCACAGGAGCGGCCCTGCTTGGTTCCGAAACTCTAGACAGCATAGCATATGACTTCTTCGAATGCCTTCCAATTTTTGCAGTACTGAGGTCCCTGCCTTTCCAGGAAGTCCCTTCCCGTGAATGAATCACAAGGGCCCACACGGCGGGCTCTGCGGGGAGGGCCCTGCCAGGTGCCTTGAGAGTCTGTGGCCCGTTTCTGGCCGTCCACCTTCGCCCTATTTCCCTGCCAGCTGGAGGGTTCCCACACCAGCCAGCCAAGGACCTCCTGAAGCCTGTGCCCAAATCCCTGCAGGGCCCAGGCTGTGCCCGCCCGGGCCACAGGCCCCTGACCTCTGCCCTGACTTTCCACATAGCTGGGACCTGTGGGTGGGGAATTTAGGTCACAGAGCAAGCAGGAGGAAAGTGGCAGGGAGAGGCCAGCTGGGGAGGCTGGGTGCTAGCAGGGGGAAACTGAGGCACAGGGAGCCAGGGGCCTGGTGGGAAGCTGCTCCGTGTCTGAAGTGTCCCCCGTCCCCGCCCCATCCCATCTGTTGCTGGTGTCTTGCAGGCACTGGCCCCTTGTGTCCAAGGTCATCCACCTGCTGCTGAGGTTGCAGGTTTAGAAGGGATTGAGGGGAAGGGAGGAAGAGCCCCTCCTCCCCTAGTAGCAGTCCCAGCGAAGGGCATCCCCTGCCATCAGGCTCCTTTCCCTGATACAAGGACCCTTGGGTCACACCTGCCCCACATTGCCAAAGCCCGCGCCTCCCAGGGAACAGAGGACACAACTTGGAGAATACAGTGCTGGAGGTGACGTGGCCTCCTAGGGCTGCTCCTGCTCTGACCTCAGGCCCATAGGGGGATGGAAGGGTGGGGGTGACCCGGGCTCTGCCCTTTGGTCCAGAAGTGCTTTCCAAACCTCCCTGCAGATAACAGTCTCTGGGGAGCAGGCAGGAGGCTGTCCAACCTCTCTGGAGCTCGAAGATTTCCCACATGGCCTTGAACAACCCACAACCGACACCACAGTCTGTGGTGTTCATTGTTGAGTGAGATAAGGGGAATAAGGGGGCCTTGAGCCCCACAGACAACAAGCACTGAATTGATGGCGCACTTACCAGTGTGTTTTTCAGGGTCAAGTTCAGGATAGGGGCTGAGCTCCTGCCCCCTGTACTCCCTTTTTTCTGAACCTGCATTGCCTGGCATGTTTTAGTAGCCAGAAGTTCACATGTGGGACAAGTTCTCTAACCCACAGCAACCCTAGCATGCAGGGGACCTTTAGAGATGGGGAAACTGAGGCTCCTTGCAGAGACAGCTTCACTCATTGTCAAGCAGTGATCAAAAGCAAGCAGCCCTCCTAGCTCTAGGGGACCGGGATGCTAGGCTTTGCTGCCTCCCTTTAAGACAGAGGCTGTCTGGCTGGGGAGGTAGCTCAGTGGTACATACAGCTGCCTTACAAGCGCAAGGTCTTGAGTTTGATTCCCGGTACCAAAGTCTCTCAAAGTGGACAACACTGTACCCCATGTTTGATGATGTTTGGGGACTTCTTTTTTCTCCCCAGTACTGGGGATTGAACCCAGGTCTTTTGCACTAAGTTATATTGCCAGCCCTTTTTTTTCCCCTACATTTTGAAACAGGTGCTCACTAAGTTCCCCATGCTGGGTTTGAACTTGAGACCCTCCTGCCCCAGCCTCCCAGAGTGTTGGGGTGACAGGTGTGTGTCACCACACCTAGCTGTTGGGGACACTTGTGGTTGTCACAACTGGGAGTGTTCCTGGCACAGAGTGGGTGGAAATGAGGGATACTGCAGTAACCAGGACTCTCCCCAACTGGCTGAACCGGCCTCGGATGGTAACAGTGCTGAGAGGAGAGACCCCGAGTGCAGATAACAGATAAATACACTGTTGCCTTCCTCTGCTCACCAGGAATCAAACCTTACTGACCCATAGTCTCACTTTTACATTTTTTTGCTCTATCACTTAGATTCAAACACTGGCCTCTTGTTCCAAGGCCCTGCATAGGTTGCAGATTATCACTTATTCTTTCAACAAATGTTTATTGTGCAGTTCCTTTGTACCCACCCCACCTCTGAGCCCTGGTTCCAAGCCAAGGTCCCCACCCATCCTGGGGGAGCTCACAGCCCCGTGTAGGAGACCAAGCACCAGGGGCTCTCACTGGAGATGGGGGAGAGGTGCAGGGCAGCTCACCCATCCTGGAGGTGTCATGGAGGCACCAGGAAGGAGGTGAAGGTTGCGGACTGCATCACAAGGGTGCTCACGCTCTTGCCTGGCACTTCTTTCTCCTGCAGGAGCCGTCACTCTGCTAAGCCTGTATCTTCTCTTCGGATACGGGGCGTCTCTACTCTGCAATCTTATCGGATTTGTGTACCCCGCATATGCTTCGTGAGTGCCCCATCTGCCCTGGCGGGAGGGTCTCTTGGGGTTCCCAGATGGCCCCTGAGCCCGCTCTGCCCCTCGCAGAATCAAAGCTATCGAGAGCCCAAACAAAGAAGACGACACTGTGTGGCTGACCTACTGGGTGGTGTACGCCGTGTTTGGGCTGGCAGAGTTCTTCAGCGATCTTCTCCTGTTCTGGTTCCCTTTCTACTACGCGGGCAAGGTGGGCAGGGACTTGGGGATCCCGGCAGCAGGTGGTCACCCACTGTGGGGACCACTGGAGGGAGGAGCAGGAGGCTGGGCTGTGGCGTACACAGCGTGACCTCATACCCCCCGCAGTGCGCCTTCCTGTTGTTCTGCATGACCCCCGGGCCCTGGAATGGGGCGCTGCTGCTGTACCAGCGGCTCGTGCGGCCGCTCTTCCTAAAGCACCACGCGGCCGTGGACAGCGCCGTGAGCCAGCTCAGCGGCCGGGTCCTGGACGTGGCAGCCGGCGTAACCAGGGACGGTGCGTTGCTGGAGCGCGCCCGCGCTCTGTCTGTCTCCCTGAGTCTCCACTCGAGCTTCAGCCTGCCTGTGGGCCTCAGCCTGGCTCCCCTCCCGAGTGTGACCCCTCTCTCGGGCACAGTGGCCGCCCCTCTGTGTTCCGTGGCCCCCCTCGGTCTCCTTCTTACTGTCACCTCTTTCCCCCATGCTCTCGGGACCCAGTGCTACGGGCTCTGGCCCGCGGCCGGGCGCTCGTCACCCCGGCAGTGGTGACAGAAGTCCCCACCGCCCTGGAAGGCAACCGTATGTAACAGGAACCGGGGAGGTTGGGCTGGGTGCGTGCGTGTGTGCGGTGCACATGTGTGAGCCTGAGTGTGGGTGTTTTCTGCGTGCCGACCTGTGTGCTTGTGTGCTGAGTGTGTGATGTGTGTGTTCCAGTGTGTGTGTGTGCCAGCGTGCACGTGTGTGCATATGATGCTCTGTGCACTTGTCTGTGTGTGCCCGTGTGTGTGCACATGTGTGCCTGTGTGTATTGTGAGGGTTGCATACATGACTATGTGTGTGTGAGAGCATGTGCACACATTGGGGCATTGCATGTACAGGTGAGCATGTACATGTGCGACTGTGTGTGTGTGCAAGATGCATGTGTGCACACATGAGGCCATGCATGCGTGTGCGACTGTGCATCCGAGTGTGTAATGTGTGTATTTTGCACATGCAAGCATGTACAAGTGTGGATGAGTGTAGCAGTGCGTGTGGGTGCCCCTGTGAATGTACAAGTGCACACGTGTGCACGTGTAAGTGTGGATGCGTGCGTGCGTGCGTGTGCAGTCATCCATGTGCACAATGCTTCCCACCTCTCATGGTCCCCTCTCCCCTCCTGCTGACCATGCTTGGCACCGAGGCCCGAGTCCCTTTCCTCGGCTGCTCAGGGGCCCCAGGACTCGTCCAACACCCACCTCCTCACCTGCCCTCTCTCCGCAGCCCCACCAAGCTCGAGCCCGCCCCAGAAGGGCAAGTGAAGCTGCCCTCCCGCTCCAGCGTGGACATCCCAGCTGGTGAGAAGGGGCACACCGCCAGCCCCCAGCTATCCACGGAGGCCCCCGCCGACTCTCCGACAGAGGCCCAGCCCAGCCACTCCAACCTGGGCAAACCCCCCTCCCGTGCACCCCTAGGCCAGGCCCGGTCTCTGGCTGGGCCAGGCTCAGGGTCCCGGAACCAGGTGGCTTCCTGCTCTGCCACTGGCTCCCAGCTGCCCAGGAAGGCCCAGGGCCCGGCTCGGGGGCCAGGCAACCCGCCCAACCAGGCCCTGAAACGCCCTGGGGTCTCTGATCATCCTTCAGGGTCCTCCCCGCCAGCCACTTCCAACCAGGAGCCTGCAACCACCCAGCCTCCCAGCGGTGCCCCCAGCCCTGTTCAACGCCCCCGTGAGCCCGGGGACCCGGCCCCGAAAACCAGCAGGCAGCCTCAGGTGGAGGGGCCCGTGCAGCCGGCTGGCAGCTCCTCAGAGCCTGAGCAGAGTAGCCCCAGCCTCTCTGAGTCCTCACTGGACATCGTGTCTGAGTCCACCACCAAGCTCACCTGCCACTGGCCATGCTATAGACCCCGGCTGCGGTGCCCTCGGCACTGCTGCCTGCTGGAGCACTTGGCCTGTTAGAGCCCCTTCTTCATCTGGCCTGCCAGGCCCCCTAAAACACCGGGCCAGTGCGGAGTGCAATAAAGTAACCGCCCAGACCCGCGCGTCATCTGTGCTGGGGCGCCCGGGGGCTCAAGCGTGAATCCTGGTGGTGAAGGCTGGCTCCATTTTGCAGAGGAGGAAACAGAGGCCCAGGGAAGCAGGTTCATCCACTCTGGGCCTCCCAGGGGCCCCATACAAATGCAAACCAGGAAATCTTTGCCCTCACCCAAGTGGCTGTCTCCCCGCTCTCCTGAATTTGTGGTCAGACGTTGTCTTGGTTACTTTTCTGTCATTGCTGAGACAAAATACCTGACACCCAAAATTGAGGAAGGAAAGGTTTATTTAGCTCACAGTTTGTGGAGGTTTCAGTCTATACTTGCTGGCTCCAAGGCAGAGTGGCACATGGCAGAGGGCAACAGGTCATGGTGGCAGAAAACAGCAAGGGCAGCAAGAGCAAAAGGAGGAGCAGCAGAGAGCAAGCCTCTTTCCCTCCCTTATATTGTATGCAGGCTCCCCGCCACAGCGCAGGTGTAGCGCTCACACCCATGATCCCAGCATTGGGCCATGGATCAATAAAAAACCCTAGAAGCCCGCCTCATGACTACATGAGGCTTTGGGGGACATCTGGACACCTTAACAGACAGACGCATTCTGTGAATCTCTTTTCACTGAGCTGTACTGCAGACTTTGTTTTTATTTTTAAATTTTGCAATAGGGTCTTACTAAGTTGCTCAGCCTGTGCTCAAACTTGCAGTCCTCCTGCCTCAGCCTCCCAGAGTGCTGAGACAGGCATGCGTCATCATGCCAGGTTTGAACCCCCTTTTTAAAAAAACTTGCAGAGAAGGGAAGCAGAGGAGAGACACCCTTTGCGGCTCACGGAGGTCCCCCAGAAAGAATTGGAGCACTAGAGTTTGAGAGCCCTGGAGGGGAACCGAGAAAACCCTGGCAGGGAATGGGGATGTGAGGTGGGAGGGGCAGGATGCCATGGGTGGGGTCGCGACCAAACCGGCAGCACTTGAGGCTTCTGCGGGAGGAGGGAGCTGGGGCTTTATCCACCCTGCAGTAGTCGGGGGCGTGGCGCCTGGTAGGCGGAGCTTAATCCAGGCCACGCCCCGGGTGTGCGGAGTCTGGGGCTGAACAGAGCCCGCCAGTCCCCCAGCATTCGCGGAAATTGCAACGCTGTCGGTGATCATGGTGGCGTTGGCTGCATGCTGCAATTTCGTTTTGGTTTTGTGTTGTGAGGCCAACGTGACAGTGATTACAAACCTGGCAAAGGCAACAAGAAAGAAAGGTGAGAAGCCTATTTATATGGATGTAGATGCAACAAATCTAAGCACAAAAAAAGAATCAAATCTAGCAGTGTATTAAAAAAGAGACCACCCCATGTCCAGGTTGGGTGCCATGGGGCACTGGGGTGTGTGTATGGTACTGGGAACTGAACCCAGGGCCTTTGGACAAGCTACACACAGCCCCCTGATTTTTTTGCAGGGGGGGTTTGTTTTGGTTGTCTTGTTTTTGGAGACAGGGTCTCATTAGGTAGTTCAGGCTGCTGCCCTTGAACTCACTATGGAGCCCAGGTTGGCCTCAAAGTTGCAGCACTCCTCCTGCCTCAGCCTCCCAAGTGCTGGGATTATAGGCATATGCCACCACCCCTGGCCACCCCAGCCCTTTTAAAAATATTTTTATTTTGAGACAGAGTTTTGCTAAGTTACCCAGGCTGCCCTCAAACTGGAGTTCCTCCTGCTTCAGCCTCCTCCTGAGTAGCTGGGATTACAGGCCTGGCCACAGCACCCAGCTGGGGAGGTGCAAATTGAAATGATTAATATATAACAGGTCAGGGGTACAGAAATAGCACCGAGGAATGTGCAGAGGAGAAGGGAGCCTGCTGAGAGTTGGGGTCTGGGTCTGCAGGATCTGCAAAGGCCCTGTCGCAGCTCGGAGTCTGGTGTTGGGAGAGCAGCGAGGAGGCCCCTGTGGCTGCAGCAGAGGGAGCGGGACAGAGCGAGGCGGGAGTCCTGGGGGTGGGCGCCTGGGGAGTGGAGTACAGGGGAGGACTTTGGCTCTTACCTGGGAAGTTGGCTTTATCAGAGGGCATTAATGACTGTGGGTAATCGTTAATGAGCCCCACCCTGTGTCCCTGCACACTCCAGCTGTTGCTCCTTGCCCCGCTGGTCTGAAGAATGAGGTTTCCGCCATGGCCCCTGAGAGAGGATCGGGGGGCAGGCTCTGCACCCCTTACCTTTGCCCTAAGGGTGGCATACACCTGTGATTCCAGCTGCCCGGGAGGCTGAGGCAGGAGGATCATAAGTTTGAGGCCAGCCTGGGCAGCATAGGGAGATCCTGTCTCTCAAAATCACAAAGGGCTGAGGGTACAGCTGAGGGCCGAGGGCTTGCCCAGCATGCTCGAGGCTGGGCTCGGCTCCACCCCCAAGACCCACCCCATGTAAATAGGCCCCAGCTGTACCCCGCAGCAGACAGCCACTGCCTGGCCAGGTGAATCCACCCCAGGAGGATAGGTGTGTAGGAGGCACCCCTGTCTCACCAGGTGGAGGTAGTGCCCTTTAGTCCTTCATTTTTTTTCTTTTTGGTGGGGTCCTGAGAATTGAACCTGGGGCCTTCACATTGAGCTACATCCCCAGCAGTTTTTAGTGGTTATTGTTTTTGAGGCAAGGTCTTGCTAAATTGCCTGGGTTGGGCTCCATGCGATCCTCCTGTTTCAGCCTCCCAGAGCCCTGGGTTGACGGACATGTACCACTGTGGCTGGGTCCAAGTTTTCTGTCAGAACATGTGCCAGCCGTAGCACCCTCCACTGCGAGTGAGTGGCCACCTGCCCCTCCTGGAGCCCTCAGCCATGAGGCTGTCTGAGGCCAGGTAGTAGCTGCTGGGGCATGGGGCCCCCCTGGACCAGCCGCCTGGGGCTTGAATGGACACTGCTATATCCAAGAGATAGGAGATCAGGGATTGGGGTCAGCCCCATACAAGTAGCAGGGCCTGTGCTATCTGCAGAGAATTAACAACAACAACAATAACAATACTAATAATAGCAATAATAAAAGTTTCCAAATTTTATATGTTTGCTGTTGTCATCAGCAACTGGAATTCTGCAATTCTGCTAATAAAATACTTCTCACTAGGTGGAGCATGTTGACACATGCCTGTTGTCATTTCACCTGCCTGGGAGGCTGAGGCAGAAGGATCCCAAGTTCGAGCCCAACCTGGGCAACATAATGACTTAGTGTGAACCAGTCAGAAAATAAAAACTAAAAAGGGGTTGGGGTGATGAGTGTTTGCCCCGCGTTGTGGCGCCCCTGGGCTCCATCTCCAACCAATGCTATGTGAGGGGCATAGGAGGCTCTGCAGTGTGAAGCGAAGCTGAGCAGTGCCTGTCCGTGGGGCCTGGAGACATCTGTCCCCTACTCCTGGAGTGGGGCTAGCTGTGTGGTGGCTCCTGCACCCCAAGCTGTCGCAGGCATCAGGCCACCATGCAGGGTCCAAGCCTGAGTGGACCCAGCACGTGACCCTGCAAATGCCATGTGGGGTCTCCCGGCAGGGTGTCGCATTTTCCTGCACCAGGAACAGAGCGGAGGAGGGCACAGCCTTGGGTACCAATAAGGGAGAGACAGCAAGGACAGTCCAGGGAAGCCCGACGGTGGGCGGGGCTTGACGTCAGCCCTGGTCTAAGGACAGAGTTTGAACGGCTTGGGAAAAGGCCCAGCCGGCCACGCCGGTGCATCGAATCCTTTCACCGCCAGGGGGCGTCCAATCCCTGCACATCACCCCAGAACCGCACTTCAACTTTCTGGGAGTGTTGAGGTCTTGGGCTGTCCCCGAGCGGCCAGGGTCACCGAGGACTATTACATAAAGTAAGGAAGGGACCATCGCTCCCCCGGGCCAAGCTTGCCTGGGTCGTTCCAGGGAATACTAAGTGGTCCCTGTTACACAGTAGGTGCTCAACAAATGCTCCGTCTAGGACCGCACGACGGTGGGAGGGGCTAGGGAAGCGCGGTGGGAGGGGTTTACAGGCCACTCACTAGCAGCCGGGGAAACTGAGAGACCCACAGAGGGGCAGGGGCGAGTCCAACGACTGCTTCCCTCAGTGATTCCCCCCTCTGCCCCGCAGCCCTGCTGGCTGATTTTTGGAGGAGGCAGCCGTGGCCAGCGGCCACAAGAGACCTTGTAGAGGAACGAGAGACACTCAAGTGATCTGCTGACCCCAGGTTCCCTGGGACTGTCACCAATCACTGTTCCAAATGACAGCATGGTCACTCCAGCAGGGGTGAGGCTAGGGGAGGCCCTGGGGTGCTCCACAGAGGAGGGCTCACTGAGCAAGTACCTGACACCCCACAGCCCCTCATGTGTTTCCTGTCCTCTCCCCACACAGGGTGGGACATGCCGGGGGTGGGGGGCTGACCAGAGGAGGAAAAGGTGTGTGTGACAGTATGTGGGCTTCAGGGGCACGGCTGTGGCTCATTCTACCCAGCTGTCCCTGAGTGTGGCTGGGTATGTGACTGGGGTGCTCTTGCTTTATTTTGGCTTGTTTTTTGAGACAAGGTCTCACTGTGTAGCCCAGGATGGCCTTGGACTTGTAACAATCTTCCTGCCCCAGCCTCTCAAGTGCTGGTGTTACAGGTGTGCACCACCACACCTGGCTTGTTTTCTTTAAGTGCTTGCTAAGATTAATTAAATAGGAATAAACATAGTGATGGGCCCAGCCAGGATGAGGTTTGAGCTTCCTAGTAACCAAGTCAAAGGGGGAAATCAGTAGTTTATAGTGCCTGGTTATGCATGTCTTCAAAGGGAGACATGCCTGTTGGTGAGCGTCTCTAAATTCACAGAGGTGGGTTGTGAGTGGCAGAGAGAAAGATTAAGGATGAGGGCAGAGTGTCAGGGAGTTAAACACAGAGGAGCTTTCTGGTATCCAGGGAAAAAGGGGAAATTGATACATTACAATACCTCAGCAGGTACGTTTCCCTCTGGGGCATGCTTTTTTGTGTCTCTAACCATGTGACCGCAATGCAAGATGAATGAAAGCCCACACAGAATTTCTGAGTGTAAAACTACTACGAGCCTCCTGACAGCCAAGGTGAGAGGGGAAATAAGAGTCAGGGTCTGCTCAGTCTCAGAGTGTCCTCTGCAGTGCTGCCTGCTCCTGGCAGTGGATCCAGCTGTATGCAAAGGTGTCCGTGTATGACAGAGAATCACATAGTTGCAAGTGGGAGATACTTCTGAGCTCCCTGGACACCAGGGTAAGAGGAGAAATATGCTGGATTTGAGCCTGGTCAGGTGTTTCTTGCAGTTTGGGCCATTTGGGGCCAAATGTGTTGAAGGCCCCCTCTAGGAACTCAGACAGGGCAGCGCCTGGCCGCCAGACGTGCCCGGCTGTCTTCTGCAGGGCTCCAAGGCCGGGCATAGCCAGCGTGTGGCAGCAGCAGCCGGTCCTGGGTACCATCGGGGCTGATGAGGCGTCGGACAGCCAGCAGGTACTCCCGATGTGGAGCCAGCGGTGGGCAGGGGCAGGGGCCGGGCGCCCACACGTACTCGCGCATCCGCAGTGGCGAGCGGTTCTTATAGATGAGCAGAATTCGCACCTCGTAGCGGGTCTCCTGGGCCTGGCGGTGGGTGCCCAGCACGCGGGCCTGGAACACTGGAGGCGGGTGGGCGCTGAGGTTGCCGGAGACCCCACCCTGTGCCCGTCCACACCGGCCATTGCCAGAAGAGGACAACGAGGCTCAGGTAGGACCTCACAAAGCTCTGGGAGCTGGGAGTGATGGTGCGCGCCTACCATCCCAGCACTTGGGAGGCTGAGGCAAGAGAATCACAGCCAGTTGAGGGCAGTCGGGGCTGCACACTGAGTTCAAGACCAACCTGAACTACATTAGGGGGACCCCGTTTCACTGCCTCCCCAAATGGCCCTAGGAATGGGTTCTCACCAAAGTCGCTTCCGCAGTAATGTAGCAGCCGGTGGGCGCGACCACGGGTGTCAGGGCAGGGTGGGCAGGGACCTGTGAGGGGGCAGCGCTGTGAGGGGCACAGGCCTCGCCCCTGCCCGCCCCACCCTGGCGTGTGCACCTCACCTGGGGCCCGGGTTGGGGCGCGGGCCGCGGGGGGTTCAAGGAGCTGAGGCGGCTGAGGATCCACCTCACGGGGCTGCGGCTGCCGTGGCGCCCAGCCCAGCACCTGCGCCTGCGCCTGGAAGGGGCCGTAGCGCTCGCGAGGAAGCCAGAACTCAAACTGGACGCCGGGATTGGGCTCCCGCAGGAGGACCTGGGGAGGAGCGGGGCTGGGAGCTGCCGGAGAGCAGGGCCCCCCCACCCCGCACCGGCCCAGGCTCCCCACGCAGACCCCCGCCCCCCTCCCCCCAGGCCCGCGCACACCTGCAGGAGTAGGTCTTGTGTGGTGGGCCCGGCCGCGTGCAGCGTCTCCTCGGGCCCCGCGGCGCGGGTGTAAACCACGTGGGTGCCCGCAGCCTCGTAGGTGCCCGGAGGGCTCACTGCCCAGTCCCCGTTGAGAACGTAGCGCCCATCACCGCCCATCAGCGCTGCAAAGGAAGGCTCGGCTGGGATCCAAACCACTGCCCTCCTGGAGCCGGCCCCTCCCCTGCCTCAGTCTCCCCAGCTGTGAGGGGAGCGACCACCGCCAGCAGGGCGCCTCCTCCCTCTGACCCTCTGGTACCCAGGTGGTTCCGGCTCCGCTGCACCACGCGAATGTGTCTGGCGCCCGCGGGAATCAGGGTCACGTTCCAGTACCCGGCGAAGGCACCTGGGTGGGAGGATAGGAAGGTGTTGGGATGCCCGCGGGGTGGGTGTGAGTGGTGATTTGAGGATTAAATAAAATACTGCAGGAAGGGAATTAGTCAGTGTACTGGTACCCAGAAAAAACGCTCCGGGAATGTTCAGCGTCACAAGGATCGCTAACGTGCGGCAGGGAAAGCGTTAAAACCCCATCCGTTCTGGGGAGGGAGAGCCAATCTGCCAATGACCAATCAGAATGAAGGACCAGAGGGGCTGGGCCGCAGATTACCCAATCAGCACGGGACTCCGATTCCGGGTCCAGGGCTCGTTAAAGACCCCGCTCTAGATGTGTATGCAGAGAGGACGGGGAGGGTGGTTACCAGCGTCCCGGAACACGCGCTGCACGAGGAGACATGTGTCGTTGGCGCCGCCGCAGAGGCCACAGCGGTCCTCGAGGGCGCCGGAACCCAGCACCCCGTCACAGCCGGCGCTCTGCAGGAGTGGTGGACACGCGCGAAGTCACAGATTGGGGAGGGGCTATGCTGGCAAAGGGTGGGGCCTGAAAGCAAGAAGCTGGGAAGGAGCCGGTGGAACTTGGGGGCGGGGCAGAGGGGCGGGGCCTGGAAGCAAAAGCGAGTCCGTGAGGGGGACAGGAGGTGGAGCCTAGGGAGGGTGGAGCTTGAGAGGGGCGTGGCCTGGAGCAGGGTCTGAGTGGAAAGTTGGGCCCTGGAGGTAGAAGGATGGGGTGCAGCTCAGAGAGGGTGTCTGGGGTGGGAACCTGAAAGTACAGGTTGGGCCAGAAATGAGGACCTAGGAATGAGGGCGAGAGTTAACTGAAGCACTCGGAGAACGACGCTGGAGGTGGGGGCAGAGGAGGGCGGGGGCCTCAGTGTGGTGGGCGGGGCCTGATGAATAGGGGCGGGGCCTGGAGGGAGGAGGCTTGGTGGAGCCTGGCGGGGGTGGGCCCGTGAGACCAGTCTGGATGAGAGAGGTGCCGCCTGAAATAAGTGAAGAGGACCTAGGGGTGGGGCCTGATAGTTAAGAGCCAGTCCCGGAGGGAAGTGACTGGGGGTGGAGCCTAGGGAGGGGTGGAATCTACAGAAGATGGGGGTGGGTCCTGGAGGAAGGAGCGTGGGGGTGGAGATTAGAGAAAGGTGGAACGGAGGAGGGAGAAGTGGCTGAAGCCTGGAAGGAGGGGCGGGGCCTAAATGTGGGGCGGGGCCTAAGTTCTGAGGCGTAGGCGGCTGGGCGGGGCCTAGTTATGGGGCGGGGCAAGTCCTCACAAGGCAGCGGCCAGCCACGCAGAGTCCCTGGGCTCCCGGGCTGCAAGGCGTGCCGTCCAGTACGCGGCCGAAGCTGTGGTAGAAGGCTTGCCCCTCAGCCAGGCAGTTGAGGTCGCACTGGTTGGGCGCTATGCACAGGGAGAGAGAGTGCTGGGAACCCCTGTCAGAGCTCAGCCCACCCTAAGCCGTATGGGTGGCCACCGCTCGGGCAGGTGGGGCCCTAACATTGAGCTGACGCTCGTTGTGAACATCCACGTCTCTTCCTTCCTTCTTGTATTCATTCTACACACTCATAAAGTAGTCACTATTTTATTTTTCTCCCTTCTCCAGTACGGGGGCTGAAACTTAGGACCTTTGCATTGAGCTCCGTCTGCAGCTCTTCTTCACTGTTGTTTTGAGACAGGGCCTCACTCACTATGTTGTCCAGACCGGGCTCAAACTTGCAATCCTCCTGCCCCAGCTTCCCAGAGCGCAGGCTTTAAGCACTCATGATTTCCTAATCATTGTTGAGAGTCCCGGTTTGCAGCACCAGGCTGAACTCACTCAGTTCCCCGGTCCCTGTGCCCAGCAGGGCTCAATATAAAGTGTCCAGTAGAGCGCAAGGTCGTGAGTTCGGTTCCTGGTCCCGGAGAAAAACCAAAAAAAAAAAGTGTCCAGTAGGAGCCAGGCGCGGTGGCACATGCCTGTAATCCCAGCACGAGGGAGGTTGAGGCAGGAGGATTGTTGTGAGTTCGAGACCAGCCTGGGCTACAAAGTGAGCTCAAGCCCAGACTGAACTGCATAGTGAGACCCTGCCTCAAAAAGACAAAAAAGCCTGCTTGGGTGGGATAGTGGTGAGCATAGCTGCCTTTCAAAAAGACCAAAAAAAAAAAAAAAAAGTCCAGTACAGAGTCCCACGGGCCTCAGTTTCCCCTTGTCCCGCGTCATCGGATCACACCCACAGACGGACAGCACTGAGCTCTGTCCTGGCCCCCTGGGTCCCTGTACAATCTGGCTGGCAGGCCCTGCCTGGAACAGAGCCGAACTGGTCCCGAGGGGCCTCTGTGGGGATGGAGTTACCACAGGGAAGGGGAAAGCAAAGGATCGAAACTACGAAGCTGACAGGGGTTTTTGCCACCCCAGGCTCTTATCTGCGTGTCTCGCCGTGCCGTGGTGACGGAGGCTGCTTGTCTTCCTAAAATCTGGAGGCGTGCTGCCCCGGGCACACAGTTATATAACTCGCTATTTTCAGCTCAGTGCAGCAACATTTCCCGTTACTGGCATAAGTTTGAGCACCATGGCCCTCCAGAGAGAGAATCCTCAGTCTGAGGTCTGATCCTGTGCAGAATGGACCCAGCTTCCTTCTGCCACTGCTTAATGTGACACTTTAACAACTCCTACATATCCTTCAAAGCCCTGGCCTTAATGCTCCTACTCTGTGCAACCCTCCGAGTCTTTCTCTTCTCCCTGTCGGAAATGGGTTGTTCATTCCGGATCACTAGAGGGCCACTACTCACCCCCATGGAAGGGCACCCATTGGTAGGTTTCCTGGGTGCCCAGAACAGGGCGGCCATTGTAGAGGGCACACTGAAGGTCTCGGAAAGGCACAGCCCCTGGTGAGCAGTCCTGAGGGCAGAGGTGGGTGGGTGAACCCCCGCTTCGCCAAGCCCAGGGAACCGGTGGCAGCGTGGCCAGCATGCTCGGGGCCACAGGCAGGACAACGAGGGCTTCAGGGCCGGCTCAGGGAAGGGGGCGGAGCTTACTGGCAGCTGGCAGAGGCGGTACTCGTGGCTGTCCCCCGAGCACGGTTCTTCTCCTGGAAGCCTGGCGGGAACGGGGCAGCCTGAGTGCAGTCGGAACCCCCAGGGACTCCCTCCCAGCGCTGCCCTGTCCACCCTCCTCCCCCGCAGCCCCACCCGCATTCCAGCAGGATCCCTGGGATTAAAGGGCACAGCCTTGTGGGCGGGCCGGGGGCGTGGTCAGGGCCCGGCGTGGCCCGCGGGAGGACTGGGCTGTAACTCTGGTCCCGCCCCTCCCAGCCGCATCCTACCCCCTCTCACCGGATGCAGCGGCGGCTGCGCACTGAGACGCCCCGCCCGCACGAGCTGGAGCAGCGGGTCCAAGACCCCCATGGCGTCCACTCTCCGGGACCCTACTTGGGGAGACAGAGGCGGGTCGACCTGGTGGGGAGCTGGTGACTCCGCACCGCCGGCCGTGTCCCATTCCCTCTGGCCCCCTTACCTGAGCACTGCCCCCCAAGCTGCAGTTTAGAAGGGTCCATAGCAAGAGAAGGAGATTCTGCAGGGGGCGGGGCCTGGGGGAGCAGAGGAGGCCCATGCAGCTGGCCCCCGCGGGACAGGGGCCGAACCCCATCTCTGCCCTAGAGGGCTGTGCGATCTTGGCAAGTAACTAACCAAACCTCTCTGAGCCCTTCTCGTCTCTGAAAAAAAAAAAAAAAAGAGGTAATCCTAGGAGTCCTCTTACAGGGAAGTTTCCAGGGTTGGTTTGATCAAGTAGGGCACAGATCCAAGGGAGTCAGAACGTCATGTGAACCAGGACTGGTGGTGCAGGTCTGTAATCCCAGCACTCTGGGAGGCTGAAGCAGGAGGATCGTGAGTTTGAGTCTAGCCTAGGCAACTTAGTGACTTAAGAAGACTCTGTCTCAAAAAAAAAAAAAGAAAAAGAAAAAGAAAAAGGCTGGGGTATAGTTTTGTGTGATAGTCCTAGGTTCAATTCCCCGGGGCCAGAACACACACACACACACACACACACACACACACACACACTGCATCTGTTATTGCTGTTGGCTATGCATTAGTATATGGTGCACATAGTAGGTGCTTAATGTTTGGTGATTGAGGGGTTATAAAGGGCTCCCAGGGTTGAGGACCCCTTACCACTTTCCAGGTCCTCATTGCTTCTACCTTCCTGTGTGGCCACAGGCCAGCCACTCCACTTCCCCAGGCCTCAGTCTTTCCATCTGTGCAGCTGGGACCAGCTGGGGTCAGTCCGTGATTCTGCGAGACCCTGCAGACAGTGAGGCGATGGGGGCTGGGTCAGGAGCTGGATCCCTGACGGGGAACCCTGCAGCTTCGTCCCAGCTTCTCGGTCCCCAGGCCCTCCCGGCAGAGGGAGCCCCCAGTCGGCACAGCAGGGAGGGGTGACCTGGCTTGGATCCAGCTGGCACCTCCTGGCCTCATCCACAGGGGTGTGGCGCATAGCCAGGGGGTCTGCAGAAAAAAGGGGAGGGGGAGGCTAATTGGGGGCCTCGGTTTCCCCATGTCAGGAGAGGGAAGATGTCACTTGCCACGCACGCCCTCCTTGAAGTTACTGCTCATGGCGCAGAGGGTGACCAGAAGGCCAGCTGCCTGACTGCAGGGAGGACAGACACAATGCTCTCTGGCCCTTTCCCCGGCCTTGTACAAAGTGGGGGGCAGGCTGGGGCCCATCTGGATGCACAGTCCCTCTGAGCCTCGGTTTCCCCAGCTCTCAGCCCATCTGACTCTAATAGTCTGAGCTCTGTGCACCCCGGGGCTCCGGGTGGCTTCAGAGGGTGAGAACGTGAGGCCCTCAGGGTGAATCCAAGGAACAGGCCTGGAATCTCCCTCTAGGACCACAGCTGTGTGGCTACCGGCATCTCCGCCCCTTTGGGCCCCAGGAAGCAGGAGGGAAACTGAATCCTGAACTGGGGGAAGGAGGGGAGCTTGACCCTCAGACAAAACCCCAAAGGGATGCCAAGCACTGGGGTGGGGGTCTGGGTGATGGGAAATGGGGAGCTACAAACCACCCTCCTCACTGCTCTAAACACTCCTCCTCCCCAAGCTGGTCGTGGTCGGCATGCCTGTCATCCCAGCACTCTGGGAGGCTGAGGCAGGAGGATCCCATATTCCAGCCCAGCTTGGTGATTTAGTGATTTAGGGAGATCTTGTTGCAAAATTATGTTTAAAAGGGTAGAGGATGTAGCTCAGTGCAAAGGCCCAGGGTTCAGTCCTAGCACTGCAGAAAGAAAATATACTCCCCAGAGGAGCAAGGCACCTTTCACCCATATTGGCTGCACCCTATGATTGGCACAGCTATCTCTGGGCAAGTTGCGTCTCAGCTTTCCCCAGAGGAAGTGGGAGCACCGAGCTCACTCCTACCCTGGGGGTGGGTCCCCGTATCACCCACGGGGCAGGTGGGCGGGTAGGAAGAGGGACTTACCGGTTGCGCAGCGGGCCGGCTCCGGGTACCCCAGGCGAGCGGAAGCTGCGGGGCGCGGGGCGCGCTGGGGAGGGTAGCGCACTTCGTGCGCCCCCGCGCGGTGTCCCGGCCTGTGGGTGCAGGCGACCTTGGGACCGGGCGCCGGCACCCGCCACCCCGCGCTGCTATTCCGAGCGCGGCGCTCAGGGCCCGGGAATGTGCGCGACCCAGGTCGCCACGCCCCGGGTCGGCTCGTCCCCGAAGTCGAAGTCGGGATGGTGCCCCTACTGGGGTCTTGGCCCCCGATCCTCCCACTCCCCCTGCCTGTGGGGCCGTCCTGGACGGTAAGGACACCCCGGCGCGTCTGGGCTCCCCACGATTCCAGGACTCTCCGCCCCCGCCCGCGCCACCCCCAACTAGGGCCCCCAAGCAGTGGGGAGCGGCTGCGCCCCAGGCTGGCGGGCGGAGGGGGGGGCGGAGAGACCCTCCCAGCTGCATTCCCGGGCGCTGCTGTCACTGGGACGCGCCCCACCCCGCCTCCGCCTGTTCTGCCCAGCCGCCTGCCTGCCAGACCAGGTCCCGAGAGTCCTTGCCTCACGGCCCCCACCTTCTCCGACCTCAGTTTCCCCATCTGCGCAATGGGGTCGCTGGGGGTCTCTGCCGCAAAACTTCCAGCTGCACTTCACCTTTTTACACTGACTCCCAGTGACCAGGAACTCCCGACCGCAAGCCTCCCACCACGCCACCCTGTCCAGGCCCAAGAGTGAGCCCCACCCCCCGCCCACTCAGGGACTAGGTTGGCGCCGGGTGCACCCACTCGCTTCTGGCCACTGCGACCCTTGGGCGACCGCTGGAAGGCGCGGCACCGAGGGGGCGGTGAATGGAGCATCTTGTAGCCTCAGGAAAAGGGGCTCCCCCAGGTGGCTGGCCCAGCTCTCTCCACCCGCAAGCTGAAAGCCTCTCAGAGCAGGGTGACCAGTGCATTAACTGAGCACCACTGTATGCCCACGCAGCTGCTGAAAGCCTGACCAGTCACAGGCGCGGGAGGAGGCTGCCTCTGCAGTGTATCAGCTCACTCCCTGCTCAGGGCAAGGGTCAGGGAGGTTCTCACTGGGGAGGTGACTGTCACAAAGGTCACAGGGAAGGGCGGCCTAGCTCAGAAACTGCATGAGCGGAGCCTGAGAGGCTGGAGTCAGGGACAGTGAGAAGGGCCTGGGGCTGGAGCGGGCTGCCCTGGGATAAGAGGAGGTGCGGGCAGGGAAGAGCTCAAGCCCGCAGGGGGCGTCTTCTGCCTGTGCTGTGGTGAAAACCACCACAAGGGGCAGCGGGGGTGCAACAGGGATGAGCAGAGGAAATGGGGACAGCAAGGGTAGAAACCCTTATGGGGCACCAACTGTATACAGGCCTGTAGACTGGGGCCTGGTAAGGCATTAGGAGTAACTGAGGCTTGGGCTCTACCAAATGGGTGGTCATATCTCCCCCCAGACATGCCCCTTTTCTGCAGGTCTAGGCCATGGTGCCCCGAAGAGAAGGCATACAGCAGATATGTGCTGTAGGTTTGTGTGCAGCTGGTGCTTTCTATTGTCAGATGTGTACACAGTAGGTGCTATATATTGTAAGGTATGCATATAGTAGGTGCTGTGCATTGTAAGGTGTGCATACCATAGGTGCTGTGACCCAAAGAGGAGGCATACGGCAGGCATTGTGCCCCGCAGGGAAGGCATACAGCAGGCAACGTATATTGTAGTTGTGTATACATCAGGTGCTGTGCATTGTAGGTATGCATACAGCAGATGCTCTATACTGTTTTTTTTTTTTTTTCCGGTACCGGGAATCGAACTCACTACCTCACGCTTGCCAGGCAAGCACTGTGCCACTGAGCTAAATCCCCAGCCCCTGATGCTGTATACTGTAAAGTAGGCATACAGCAGGTGCTGCATACTGTGAGGTAGGCATACAGCAAGTGCTGTGCATTATAAGGTGGGGCACACAGTCGGTCCTGTGCATTGTAGGGTGGGCACACAGGGCCCCCGGGCGTGGTGGCGCACGCCTGTAATCCCAGCACTTGAGGAGGCAGGGGGATCATTGCAAGTTTGAGACCAGCCTGGGCTACAAAGAGAGTTCAAGGCCAGCCTGAACTGCATAGCGAGACCCTGTCTCAAAAATAAAGACCAAAAAAAAAAAAAAAAGGCGGGCACACAGTAGGTGCTTATCCCAAAGAGAAGGCATACAGCAGGTGCTATGCACTGTGGTGTAGCATAGGCAGCTGGCATTACGTCTGGGGATACACACAATTATACCTCGACACTCAAACTCAGTTGAATTTGGTTCTGGACACATTTTGATGAGAAAGTTTTATTTGATACCCATTGTTTGTTTGGTAGTCATCGTGCAAGCTAGAACTTGCCGGTGTCGGTTGCCTTGTGACTCATTACCCCCTCCAGCCAGAAAAACTAAGGACAAGTCCTTACTGTAGCACTGTATACAGCAGGCGCTGCACCCTGCAGGGAGTGGGTACAGCAAGTGCCGTGCCTTGAATGCAGGAAACGCACTCAGCAGGTTCTGGGACGAGCAGAAGGTGCATATAGCAGTGACTGGCCCCACGGCGAGCACAGACGGCAGGCACAGCGACCTGTGTGTGGGGACCTAGCGCCTGTGGGGTCACACGTGGGGTGAGCTGTGGAGGCCGTGCCCTCCTGCCCTGGCTCCCTGCTCCTCAGCCCTGGTCCTCCTAGCTGGACGCGTCAGATCCACCGGCGCAGGAGGGGAGGAGGCTGAGGGTTAGCCTAGCACACTGGACGCAAGTGGAGGGGCAGCTGCTGGGGTTCCATGCTTCCCTCGCCTGCACCCCAGCCCAGGGCCCGTCGTCACTCTGAGCCCCACTTTGCCCCGGCTGCAATCCAGGAGGGAGGGTCAGGATGGAGTGGGGGATGGGTGACCCAGCCGTGTGACTCAGCCAGGCTCTTGCTGCTTCTGTGTCCATGGCTTTGGGGCTTAAGAACATCTTGCCTAGGGTCTGGTGACCAGTGCCTGTCGTCCCAGCACTCAGGAGGCTGAGGCGGGAGGACTGGCAGTGAAGTCAGGGCCAGCCGGGGCAACTGCAGAGCAAGACCTTATCTCAACCAACCACAAAACAAAACAAGACACAAAAAACAAAAACAAAAAGCAAAGAAAACAAAAAAAGGATTGTGCCTAGCCTCCTAGCCTGGTGTAGTGGTGCATATCTGTCATTCCAGCTACTCGGGATGCTGAGGAAGGAGCATTGCCAAGTTAGAGCCCCACCTGGGCAACTTAGTGGGACCCTTTCCCAAAATAGAAAATAAAAAGATTTGCAGGTGGGCTGAGTGGTGAGCACTTGCCTAGTGTGCGCAAGGGCCTGGGCCCCAGCCCTAGTACAGCAAACAAAACAAATATTATCTCATAGTTGAAAGCACAGTGCTGTGCCCTTCAGAATTTGTCCAGAGGGTCAGCCTGGCAGCGCAGCAAGACCCTGACTCAAAAACAAACAAACAAATTAATAAATATCCCACTGCAGTGGTGCATGTCTGTAATCCCATCTCAGGAGGCTGAGGCAGGAGGATTGCAAGTTGGAGCCCCACCTGGGCAATTTAGCAAGACCCTGTCTCCAAATAAAAAATAAAAAGGGGAAAAAATAAAAAATAAATAAAAAGGGTTGGCAGTGCGGCTTGGTGGCAGAGCACCCCCTGGGTTTCATCCCCAGGACTGCAGACATAAGTACATCATTTGTTATGTGGGTAAACTTCATGGTAAAAATTCTTTTTTTTTAATAGTTCATGAATTTTTTAACGCTTCATGAATTTGTGCCTCAGCCTTACTTAAGGGCCATACTAATCTTCTCTGTATCGTTCCAATTTTAGTATATGTTCTTCCAAAGCAAGCACTTTTTCTTGTCTTTTTGAGACAGGATTTCGCTATGCAGCTCTGGCTGGCCTTGAACTTACTTTGTAGACCTGGCTGGCCTCGAACTCACAGTGATCCTCCTTCCTCAGCCTTCCCAGTGCTGGGATTACAGGAGTGCGCCACCACGCCTGGCGGTGGTAAAAATTCTTACCACAAATAAACAAAACCAAAGAGACTCAGGTTTGGGAGGTGGTGCACATGTTGTTGACCTTGACTTGTGACATCATGCAGACTTTGCACATGTCCATACTCAAATGGCACACGCTGTAGGTGTGCAATTCTTCAATTACAGCTCAATAATTTTTTTTAATTTTTCTTTTGTGTTTCTTTTTGTGTTTTGTTTTTGTGGTGTTGAGGATGAACCCAGGGCTGTACATTCTAGGCAAGCGGTCCCCACTAAGCCATACCTCTGGCCCAATAAAGCTGTGGTTAACAGTAAATTAAATTTAGTCAGGCATGGTGACACAGGCCTATAATCAGAGCATTGTGGGAGGCTGAGGCAGGAGGGCTGCAAGTTTGATTCCTATTGAGGCAACTAAGAGAGACCTCGTCTCAAAATAAAAATAAATAAATAAATAAAGCTGGGGATGTAACTCAGTGTGAAGACCCTGGGTTTCATCCTCAGTACCACAGAAAATTAATTAGTTAATTATTTTTTTAAAATGCCCTCCAGCTGATCTGGGGCCTCTCTGTGGCCTCTCGGTGGCATCTGCCCCCACAACTCTCCACTGTCTCCAATAATTCTTTGGGTTCGGCCACTGTGTGTCCATTTTACAGCATGGGCAGCCCAGAATGGGGACCCACCACATCCAGGGCTACCCCGTGGAAACCGAAGGTCTGGATCCTCTATCCTCCCACCCTGACTGTCCGGTGGAGTCTGCCTGTGGAGATGGCTCCTCCGCTCTGCCCGCCTCAGGCCTCCAGTAGTGCCCTGTGCCCTTCCTAGGCTGAGCCCTACAGTCTATGTCGGGCCCCCTCACGTTCAGTGGGCGTGGCCTGCTCCTTTCAGTACATATCAAATGACCCCTAGGGAGCCAATCAGAAAACTCTCCAGTAATAGGCTGGAAGATAAGCATGTGACCCAGGTGAACCAATGAAAGCCTGCCCTGAAAAACAATCCCTAATTATTATTATTATTATTTTTTACTTAGGAACTTTGAGCTCCTGGGGTTTGGGTTTTTTTTTTTTTTGTACCGAGAATTGAACTCAGGGCCTTGTGCTTGCCAGGCAGGCGCTGTGCCACCGAGCTACATCCCTGAGCCTTGAGCTTCTGTTACCTCTAATCGAAAGGTCCCTTTCTAATAGGAATCGTGTCTCTTTCATCAGCCCCCATCCTGGGACAGATTCTACTTCTCATGTCTCAAATGAGCAACAGAGGATCCAGGGAGATAGCTCAGCAGCATAAGCGCCCACCTGGCTAGCACAAGGTCCTAAGTTCGATTCCCGGTACCAAAAAACGAACAAACAATCAAATGGGCAACAGACACAAGCTGCAAGACTTGATCATCAAATTGGGTTGATTAGGGGCTGGGGATTTAGCTCAGCGGCAAAAGCGCCTGCCTGGCATGCGCAAGGTCGTGAGTTCGGTTCCCGGT